TCTGATGCCCGGAAACCCAGACTCCACACCAGACGTTTTACTGCACACAACAAACTTAACAAGCACCATTAATAACATAAGCATAACTAACGAACTTGGATCGGACCATCTGGCTATAACGTTTAACATAGACTTAAAACATACGCAACTTACCCGCAGTACACCGAATCAAGAGAAAAAGCTAAACTTAACTAAGACTGACATAGACAAAGTAAAACTTCTCATACATAACTACATACAGTCGCAAGCACAGACCATCTCTATTGAATCCATACAACCACAACTTTCACTAGCGATAGGAAAATTCACCCCTGAAATAAAAAAAGTTTTCTACCGACACACCCTACCCAAAATTCATACTGAGACTCATAAAACATAAGAGAGAACTTTACAGACTATACACTTACACCCAAAATAACGCCTTAAAAAAGACACTGAACCAACTGAACAGGAACATTAAAATTTTGATTGGACAATACCGACAAGACAAATGGTTAGAAACATGTAAGGAAATAGAAAAAGACAAGGGCAAAACATATTGGCAAAAAATCAAGGAATTAGTACAATACAAGAAAACTAACACTACTGACACCTATACCTAAAAATGGACGAGACGGTACACAAATGGAAAACTACAGACCTATTACATTACTCCCGGTGCTGTACAAAGTCTTGAAACACATACTAAAACAGAGACTCAAAGAACTGATTGGAAAACATATACCAACCTACCAATTTGGCTTCAAACAATATCACTCGACTATTCATCCGCTATTTATTTTGACCAACAACATACAAACACCTCACCTAACTGACGGAAAGTCGGCATGTCTACTCATGGACATCAACAAGGCTTTTGATAGTGTCTGGCATAGGGGCTTACTATACAATTGCACTAAGACTAATAACACGAATGAGACACCCCCAAAACCCCCTGCGCAACCCTTCCAACCAACTACTAACGACGCACAAACATGACCAACATTTCGGAAAGACTAATACACTTACAGACAAAATGGACAAACAACCCCCACAACTGGACCATACTGAATCCCCTTTGCCTGATAAAACAGGCAAAACATTCCCGTTTTCGTACCCCAACAGATACTTTACTAGAACACCTACAAACGCAACAGAACCAACGACTAAGACCTGTTTGTTTTCTAAGCCAGGAAATTTTTTTTGATCACTGATTAGTTTATACCAGTGGAGGTAGGAATGGGAATTAATTTTAGAAGAAGAATAATGGGATAGGGGGGTGGAGGGTAGGAATAAGAATTAATTTTAGAATAAGCTAGGCTAAGACACATATGTACTACTCAAGGGCAGAAAGACCGATTGGGTCGATAGCCTTTTTCTATAGGAAAAAAGATTATTTACATATATATATATATATATGAAATCAATAGAGCGATAGAGTGGACTTTAAATACAGGGACTGTGGCCGGAATTGCTTTATTGATAATCCGACCGATTTTAATGGAGTTTTTTTATTCGAATGCGGGACGCGACTATTGTGCCATGGGTTGATTGAAATTTCATCTCTCACTTTTGCCGAATAATTTAGCTGAATCGGTGCGGTCGCTAAATTTTATTTATTCCCATGCAGAAACATTGGATTTCAGCGCGAATGGTCAATGAGAGTTCGTTTATTATTCAGCCGGCATCGTTTTTGGTCGAAAATTGACTCGTGCACCAACAAAGTTTTTGAGCAAAATGAAGAAATTGCATTAAAATGTTACAAGTTTAGGCCATAACCGAGCTTGAGACAATTCAATATATATTTCAATGCAATGCATTTATGATCTATTGTTTTGTTAATTTTTATTCGAAATAAGTTTTACATTTTTTGATGATGATGATTTGATTTTTGATGACACAAAAATCGCGAATTCGTTAAATAATAAAACACCTCATTTTGTTCAGCAGTTAGAATAAAGTGGCACTTCGCGACACATAAACGTTTTGTCCCTTGAAAGTGGCTGACAAATAAACTGAAAGGGTTAATTATGACGAAATGAAGGGGATATATTTTAAGGGTGTAAATGTAACTCTTGATTTTGCTTATTTGCCAATTGCTGCCCCTTTAAGCCGTGTCCACTCCGAATTTAACATACTATTAAGAATCGACGATCTGCCCTATTAAAAAAGCCTGTAAACGTTTACACTGAATAAATGTAGTCAACGTCTCAAAACCATTAAGATTCTTAATCTTTGGCGGCAGAAAATTAATATATAAGTATGTAGTATCTTCCACCTTGCAAAGATTAAGCATTTTTTCTTCACGATCTTTAGCCGACTATTTCTTCCTCATTTTCGATCTAAACACTTTATAAATGCACTCTTCTGAGCTTCTTACGTTGAATGGAACCGTTTGAACTCAAAAACACACAAGTGAAATTTTTATTTTTGGGCGAAATTTTTCCGAAAGGTTTAGGGTCGATTTTTCTCAAAATGTCTCAAATTTTACGTCATTTTCAGCTCACGGACGCCAGCAATACATCGAACTCACTAGAAAGCATGGTAGAAGTTTCAGATCTGAAATAATAGACATTTCAAACTGCACGTGAATTTGGGGTATCCATTCAACGTGTTGGCCTGGAGCAGTTCGTACTAAGATGGCAAACTTGCCAAATTTATCAAAACTCCTGAAGCTGAAGCGTTGCTTTGCACGTCTGGTGATTATAGTTGCGCAGGGATAATGAAATGCACTTTTCCTAAGCAATCCGATTAGTCCTTAAACGTCCGTAGTGGGACGATTCTTTGGAAAAATTGCTCGCTTTAAACGATTTGCACTATTAGCGCAAATTCTACAGTGCGGCTGCATTCTGACTAAACTTGTAATCTGCGCGAAATTAAACCGGAATAAAACGGCTTTTATCGCTAAATTAGACTATTAGTTGATCCGCTTAAGCCCAAGTTAAATCCCAGTAAAGTCGTCTTTGGAATCCTGGCTCATTAGCGTTCCTAGTAGATCAATAATTGATTCGACAGGGATAAGCGCCGATATTTGTTTGAAGCCAAATCATATTCGGAGTGTGGCAGGTTTCGAAATGAAACTCACCCCGATCGGAAACTGAGCCTCTAAATAATAGATCCAGTCAGCGATTCGCCAAGATCGCAACTCGAAATTGGGTTCGATGCCCACCATTTTTTATCAAAAACTCCCTGCGGAGCCGCTTCGGGAGTTGCTTATCCCGAGTATAGATTACTTGCTTTAAGGGACATTTCCGACGTCCTGTCTTTAAAATGTCGTTTTGTCCCGGGTATTAATTCACAGATAAGAGCGGAGCGGAACAGCCGAGGAGGCAAATAATGACAGAAAGGGGCGGCAAATCTTTCCGAGAGTGAATCCACTATTTATCTACGATTGGATCTGGGTAGATCCACTACTGCTAATCAGTAGCTTTTTGCATCCACATTAAGCCTCTAATTAATCTGGAAAGCTTTTTTTTATCCAAATCCATGCAGCCACTGTATCAGGACTGGGAATATATGGCGTAATGGAGGCGGAGGCTTAAGAAACCCGCTTTCAGTTACTGATGTGCTGACACATCAATTGAAATAACGTTTTTTTGCATTAAATTTCCGAGTTGTCTCAAGGAAAATCCTGCAGCAGCAAGGAGACACTAAGATACTCTTTCATTATAGCGGAAGAAAGCCACTTTAAGCGTTTTTATCTTGCAAGCTATAAATCTTGCAGACGGCCATTATTTCTTTATCCTCCGCAGCCGGATCGATTCCCAAAGTCCCAAAAACTATTCGGGATAAATGCCCTTAAACAATCGACTTTCCGGATGCAAAAAGTGCTGCTGGAGCGTCGTTTTCCCGACAAAACCGATCCGCAACCTTTTTCATCCACGTGATTGATTCGTTCGGCCACGACTTGGTTAACATTAACATTTAAATTAAGCCCGGTTTTAATAAATAAGGCGAAAATTCGATGTGGCTGAAAGTTTCGCTGCTGCAGGATGGGCAGCGTCTCTTAATGCGGAACAGTTCGGAATTTTCGGGCGCGGGCCGTTGCAAAACAAAGGTGAAAACTTCATTAATCCTTAATGGATGTGGAATCGAGAAGCTGGAAACTGATCCGGTTCGGGTCTCTTAATCTGTACTTGTCCGCTGTTATTTCGGGTTTAAGTTTAAACTGACAGGGCGCGCCCATTGAGGCTAATGGGGACGGGACGCTTCAAGTGGTCAATGGGATTTATGCCGAAAATGTGCCAATTTGTTCAGGGTGCTCAACTCTCATCAGTTGTGTTGGATAAACCTCATTTTCGCCCTTATTGGCCGAAAATTGGACCATGCAGAACCCAAAAAATTGAAAAAACCAGAGAAAATCAACGCCGTATTTCTTCCTGCAATTGGTCAAGAAAAGTTGAAAGAAAGAAGGAACCATCTACTTATGCAGTTACTATATGCAGACGAGCGGAAAATTTTGACGTAAAACAAATTATAATAACCCAGCGATCATTCACGATAAAATTATGAAAAGCACTCGGCAGCTGGTAACGAAAGGATGCGGCTGGCATGTCGTGCAATCTGCAGCTAGTGCAGAGCCGGCAAATAGTCGAAATATTGTCGAAACTAATTAAAATCTGGAGCATTGGAATCGTAATAACGAGAAACCCCATTCATAACACGTGTTATGCCTCGTCAGGCAAAACTGAATCTCCGTATCAAATAATCCGATTCTCAAAGCCATAATTGTTCTACCGCGTTGAACATAACCTCGAGAGTGAATCGCATAA